GTCAAAGTGAGGAATGGTGGTGTCCAATCACTCAAAAAGTTTATTGTTTCAAATTCATAATTAAGTAAGTGTGAGTTTGGTTGCACTCTTTAAAAATAAAATAATTAAATCTTAAATGAAGCTTCGGGTTAATGGCAGACATTATAAAAAGGGTTAACTCCTCTGCAGGATAATGAACATAAAGCACATAAATAAAACACTTCTAGAATCTCTTACTCCCTCGTGGTCGCACAGAATCCACATGTACAGCAAACCTTGTGCAGCCGAGCGTTCTACACAATTATGCTTCTTAGAAAATAAAATCCAAAGGGTGGGAAGAGAAAAACATTTCTCAGTCTTAATTAGAACCCGATTGAAATCCAGCCGTCGTGTGATGGTGTATTCTCTTGGTAAACAATTAGCTTATATTTTGAATTTGAATGAGAGATAATTTCCATTGTCTCTATGAACGCGGACAGTGTCTGATGGAAGAGATGCTTCCACAGTGAGCGGTTACAGCTGTGTGAACCTCCCCAGGTTCAACAGGTTCTCTCCGACTGTGCATCTCCGTCTACAGCTCTTATTTTTAGTTCTCTTCCCACTTCTCTCCAAGATGCACAACAAAGGCCGTCTTACTCATTTGAAAACTCTTGCTCGCCCACTGAAGATGCAGAGTTGTGCAGAGGCCTTGTTGCATTGTCCTGGCAGAGCGCTCACTTTCAGGAGAAGTTTAATGTCGCTCTCCCAGATTGGTTTTTGTGTTGTTGTTTTTTTATCTGTACCTATCCTGCCTGTTTCAGACAAAGCCCTGTCCTGACCTTCCCAGACAGCAACCATTCACCGTGCCCTCACTCCCACACGGCCACATTCAAACCTCACAATACCCTCACCAACCTTGAGAGGAGCAAAGTCCAGTCTGAAGGCAGGGAGTTTGTGGATAAACCATGAATGATGTTAAAAAACTTTAAATTCCCTGCCCACACTATTCTTCCCTCTGAGTTTTGTTGTCAACCATTTTCTCCAATTTTAAGATGATTAGATATTTCTGACTTTTTTTCCATTTTAAAACTTGTCTGGTCCTTGAAAATAGAAGAAATCCAATACAAATGAAGTAAATGGTGACCACTTCTTCAAACATAAAAAAACAACACAAAAAAAGATAAAATGAAAAACTCAAGGTACTTTACTCTGGTAGAGAACTCTAGAAGGATTCAGTCATAATTGAACCATTAAGCTGTTGAGACCACAAAGACGGAAAACAAGCTCAAATAGCTCAAATCTCAGCAGTAGCGTATCTTTTTACACACTATGGCTAAACTGCTTTAAAACATATGTAACACATTTTTCCTTTTAGTCATTGACGTAGGGGGAATCCTGTGCGGTTCTTGAAGACCCACACGATGACTCACACTCTCCTACGCTGTAGGTTTGACCACCCTACTGCATCGGGCTCCTCACACGTTAGCATTTCCATTTTTGAATTCCATTGTTTCAATTATAGTTTGTGAAAAAAGGGCACGAAAACAACACAAAGACAGTTACAGTAGTTTATTCTGTATGTGTGTTAAATAACTTATATGAATCTGGAATCAGCATAAACCGAAAACACACACACACACACACACAGATAAGTACAAACACATACTTAAAAACACACTTGTATATTTTTCGTCATCATCAATTTGATATGCCTATGACCGATTCGGAGTTCAATATCATGCAGGTGGTCAAATGCAAACAGGCAATTGCAGAACTGAAAGCAAATAAGGCGGTTTCACTACACTTGATTACACTGCTTGAGTAACAGTTACATAAATAGTGAACTAGATCTATGCCAGAGGGACTGTCAGTGCGCTACAGTGTTGGTTTCTCAAGAAGATTACGTCCTATTCTCTTCACATGAATTCAGTCATTTCCGTCGGAGGTAAGCCATGACACATGCATGGGAGTAGTGCTTCTCTCTTCTTTCTTTGTCCAAAAGCTATTTCTCAGCTGCAGCTGTAGGAGTACTGACACACATACACATTTACCCCCCTCCCCCCAAAACATCCCCTCCACCTACACAGCGTATCGTTCAATCTGATTGCACTTATCGTTAAATTAAACATTTAATGCCACCTGTTACATTCCAGTGAAAATCTGCAGACTTGTGAAATTGGACGGTTGAGCAGCAGCAGGCCTTTTTAAGCAGTAGATGGAAGCATTTTCATTGGTGGATCAGTCACTTTTGCTCCCGCCTCCAGATGATGACCATGCCGGTGGAATCGGCTGAGGCCAGTAAACTCTCGTCGCAGTTGAAGCTGACGTCCAGCACTGGTCCTCCATGACCCTGCAGCTTGTTGACTATCGCCTTAGTGTTGCGTTCAACGTCGAAGAAGTAGACGCAGGCGTCCTCGCTGCCGGTCACTGCAGCAGGCGTGAAATCAGAAATGCAGCTTTGTAAATCAATGCGGTTAGTCTAATTTGTTCAATTCATTTTGGATTAAAAATGAGCGGCTCAGTGGTTTATGCTGCCTCGAAAACAACGTCATGTGACACAAACTTTGCATGAATAGCAGAACAAAAGAATATGGAGATGCAGCCTGTTATGACACTAGTACTTCCCAGGTGACTTCACAGTTTGTCACGTCTCGGAAATAACAGCAGTAACCATACTGCAAAATATCAGCAGGCTTTTGTATGAATTTCAGACTCGAGGGTGTTTTTATGAGTGAGAAACTGTTAATTGGAGACGCAAACCTGATAATTTAAACAGTGAGAAGCCTTGAATGAAATGACGAGTTGATTGTTAGGAATTAATTAAAGGGGAAGGAAGTTAAATAAGGTGAAGCTCTGAGGTCGAGATATGCTCTCGTGTAAACAATCTTTTAAAAATGTACAACCCTTTGGTAGACAAACACATACAAGCTGCAAACAAGGTAAGTAAATGGTTTCTAAAAGGCTTTCTAATTAGTTTTTTTTTAATCCAAAAGCAGCAGTGTGCTATTTTCTGCATTCTCTTTCCCCCACATTGGACAGCCTGCAGCAAGTAATGAACTGTGGTCTGATTTTCTATTCAAATATCACAGCAGGAACACTGAGAAACAGTCTTACCCACACAGGCCCCCTGTCTGAACGACATGAGGGGGCAGAAGATGCTATGAACGAGCTGGGAGCCGTGCTGGATGGGGAAGCTCCTCTTTAGCTGTAGTGTTCCCTCGTTGTCGACCACCCTGCCCATGAAAATGTGGTAAAAACCGATTAAACTCAATATAGCAATGTATGACAAAAGATAGCAAAACTGCAGATTAATAAACAGTGACTTCAGAGACTAACCTGTACAGCAGCATCTTATTGACACAGGCGTTGACCAGCAGGGAGGGGTCTCTGGCCTCTCGGCTTATCCAGGACCGAGCAGATATGCTGCAGATGGAGCTGCCTTCATTCACCACCAGACGCTTGGCTTTGGTCAGCTTCCCTGCGGGAGGGCAGGCAGACACAGCAGAGACCGGCAGTGACACATTAACCGCTTCACCCTCTCAAACAAAGACACTATTCAGTGCACAAAATGGTGTTAATTTGTAACGCGGTCAGTGCATATTTTTCCCTGTGTCAAATAGAGAATACCTGTGGCCATGTCAAAGAGGAATGAGAAGATGCTCCCCCTGTCATCTCCAGCCCAAAGGATCTTGCCCGGAGCATCAAAAGAAAGAGACAGCACGCGGCCTGTCAGCTTACTGGAGCCCCCCTTCACCTTCTTCCCGGTGGAGATGTTCACCACCTGCAGGTGGTGCTTGCTGTTTCCCACCTGGAACACCGACCACGGAGTGAGGGCTTTTATTATTTCCACAGAGCAGCGCAAAGACACTGAGTGGAGAAGAAGTACTGGTTGCTGTGTTTTTGCAAAACTAGACCAATAAAAAACTGTTTACAACCTGCTCTGGTAATTCTACTTTATTCTACACACAGCACATTAAGAATTAATGCATCATCTGTTGTACAAAATATTACATTTGTTATTATTTGTACACAAATATGACACAGACACTGTTTAACTCATTGACTGTATAGCAAAAATGGTCGACATGACAGCTCCCCAAAAGTGAAACCAAAGCATCCGGATCATCCACTAAGTCATAAACACCACCTCCTCCATGTTAGTGGATGGATCATGGACCACAAAATAGAAAATAAAAATACAATGATAACTTTTCTGTTTTTAATTATTCATCTGAGTTAATAATTGACATCTGACATTGACTCATGATTGGTCAAGTGTGTGTATCAGCGTATCAGCAGGAAGTCCGACGTACAAGATGGCAGCGTTTGTGTCCTGGATATTTGACCTAAGCCCTATGAGACGAGCTGTGATTTGATCGATTGCTTGATAACGTGAATCTTCTTCATTCATCTTTATACACAGTTGAATCCAACAGAATTCATTGACTACCTTTCTGTCCTCTGACAGATGAGACCAGTTAAACCTGTTCAAGCCTGATTTTGAAGCCCGTACTAAAGATGCTAATCTGTTCCTCCTGGTTGTTTTTACTGTCAGATAAAAACAAATATCCATCTCCCTCATGTTTCACTTAATGAAACGTAAAGGGACACTGCTGCTCACAGCTCTGCTTTTACTTAACATTCTACCTTTCAATTAAAATGAAAGGACAGATTTGAATCAGAACTATTCAAGATATTTTCCACTTTTGTCCTTGATTATAAAAGCTGACATTTAATTCTGAAATTTGAATCAATATGTGCACAGTGTAAGTATGCACACAGTTATTAAGAGTGCGATAAAAGCATACTAATGGGAAGTTAGTTTGCCTCTGTGTGCAATTTATGCTTCACACACAAAAATGAAATGATCTGAATAAAATAAAACAACGATTAAGAAATGTGAAGGCATGTAATAAACTGTGAGGGAGAAATAAGAGCAAAAAGTCAACATCTGTCATTTTAGGTTTCTGGGTAGGGAAGCATCAGAGCAGAGCATAATCTTATGTCTACACTTTACAAACACCATATGTCATAAAATCAGAGTGTGCATTGACATATCAACTTAAAAGTTAAGGACAAAAACAAAACGTGAGATGAAAACAGAACCAAGTTTGTAAATTAAAAACCAGAAAATAATACAGCTAGCAGGACTGGGATACTTTGTGCCACTGGAGAATCTAAGAAGATAACACGTCTCACATTTTAACTGTCTTCTTTGCTGCTGTATCACAGTAAATTTCTCCCTTGTGGGTCTAATAAAGGATAAACTTGTCTTATCTCAAATAGGACTCACCACAGTAAGATTGTTATTCATCGGCTGGAACGTGCAGCAGAGCAGCTCACTGGATTCTGGGTCTCTGACCTCTCGAATGCAACGTCCGTCCTCTGTGTTCCAGATACGCAGAGTCCCATCCAGTGATGTTGAAACGATGATGTCGTTGCTCAGAGACCAGGCAAAGTCCGTGACGGGACCTCCGTGACCTTTCAGTGTCACCTTCACACTGGGAGGAGACGGGGACAGCGTCATGATGGACAGGGTGCCATCCAGTGAGCAGCAAGCAAGCAGGTGCTTGTCATCATTGGCAAACTGCAGCCGAGGAACTAAAATAAGATGAAGTAAAGTCAAATAAATGTTCATACTTGATGTTCACAAATTGATCATTATGGGTTTTATTTACTTACCAGCAGAGTCTACATGTTGGTCAAATATGTGGTGCATGCCGGCAAAAGCATAATTTTCACTCAGAGTTGTGTCCCCTGCCATGGCTCGGCTGGCCTCTGCCACTGAGGTGGGCACCAAACTGCCCGGAGGCCTGCGGCCAGAAATAAAGACCATCGTGTATAAGCATGCAGTCAATTCACTTCCTGTCCACCACCTACAGATGACAACTCAATATGTGAGATGAGATCATTACTCAGTGCTACCAAAACAGAATTACAGTTCAAATGAGACATAAATCAAAGAGAATCCAGTTGCCCAAGGTGATAAGACAAGATGCTGGATGAATGTTAAGGATCTCCTGGTACCTCTCATCATAGACAGCTCTGTTCATCTGGGCCTGTAGCTGGTAGGAGCCTCTGCTGACGGACCGGCGGTGACCACGAGCCCCTTGGGCACGGGGGTCCTCCTCGAAGTCCTATGAAGTGGGAGAGAGGAGAGGGAGGGAGCCAGAACCTCGTGGGAGTGAGTGCAAGTACAAACCACACATAATCATAAAATAAGCATCAATAAATATTTAAAATTACCATGCAATTTTAATTTAATGACACTGCCCATATACACAGGCAGTGCCAGCCATTTCAACCAAGCTGCTCAGTTTAATAATCAAGGGCATCCAAAGTGTTGTTGGCTATGTGGCTGATTGGTGAAAATTAAAATCTAGCCATCCAGATGGCTCTCATATATTGTATTCTGTGTTTTAATCCAGCTCTCAGATATTTGTATATCTGCCTATTTCAAATAAGTATAAGACACCCCCGGCTATTCCTTCTCTTCTACTTTCCCTGTCCCTTCTGTTTCTTTGGGTCTGACCTCCATGCGGTCCAGTGTGGTGCGGGAGCTGCGCACACTGCTGGCCCTGAAGCTGCTCTGCTCGGACAGGGGCCCGTAGCGCAGGGCCAGCAGCTGACTGCGCAGCCTCAGGTACTGCCTGCGCAGCCCCGGCTCAAAGCCACACTTGGCGTTCTCTCTGAGCAGCTGGCTGCGTCGGCGGATGTACTGAGTTCGGAACTGTGGGAACGTGGGCGTGCGGTAAGCATTGTACCTGGGGAGGGAAGGAAGTGACACAGCACGCACAATAACTCACAAAGTGATCCATAAGCAATTACACGTTTGAATAGCTTCTTCATCATCTTGGACCATCAGAGCCTGGAGTGTGACTCAGTCTTACCTTGCGTCCACTGCCAAAACCTGCTGCCAAACTGCTGCCATTCCACAAGCACTCTGGGTAAAGATGGAGCCACTGCCAGAGCAGATCCCTGTCAAACACACCCAGCTCATACATCAGCCACTTCACTTAATAAGCTTTACATCATGTGACTTACTGATATGATCATACAGCATGGCTGACGTGTACATCACCCTCATATAAACAGGTTGTCACCCTCATCACAACATCTACTAATTGTTACTGAGTCGTGTTTTCTTTATATTAATGTGAAGACAGAATATTATTATTATTGTTGCAGTGAACCGTCGTTAAATCAAATGGAGCCGCTGAATGAATGGTATTAGCATTTTTTTTTTTCTCGTTAGCACTGAGGTTAGCAAACATCACAGGGGAGCAGGCGACTCCTCTTCTTATTGACAGCTAGCGCAAAGCTAACAAGCTAGCGGCTAGCACGTTAGCCACAACATCAAACGCGATGTGCTCGTTTAAAAACCCGTTTTCCCCTGAATTCGTCGATGTGGACAAATAGTGTAAAAGACGTGGATGTTGCACAGAGAGCGAGGCGCTCGGTGCGGTGACAGCGGACAGGACGAGGGGTGAACCCGAGGGGAAGCGTCTCACCTTCCTTAGCTTCTCTCCATCGCTGCTCTTTCTCTTCCTGTCGGGTCACATGACTCCGTGAGACCAGCCCAACCCCCAGCTGAGGCCACACGGAGCCACGTGACACGTGGACTCGTCAGGTAACACACGGGTCACTGACATTTACAACAGACACGGACATCACACTGGGATTTATTCTGCTCTGCTCTCGTCCACAGGCACAAACCAACACATCCAATGGTTCAGAGTAAAGAAAATACAAGATGAGAAGAGATGCATCTGTATTGATCCACACACACAGGTCAGAATGAGGGAGACAAGAGAATAAAGACAAATAAAACAATTACACAAAACGTGCTGAGAGTGTTCATGATATACATCTGTCACTGTGGTGGTTTGTATGAAATGTTATAAAGGAAAGTGCAGTGGCACAGGATGATTGTACGAGCAAGTAAAACACTGTACATAAATACAAACGTGAAAAAAGTTCCCTTCTGTTAGAAAACAGAGCAAGTAGTATTAGTCTGTCTAAGGCCTGATTTTCTTCTTCTAAATTAATTAGATGAAATTAATTATTTCCATGGAAAACTGAGAAAATGTAAAAACAAAACAAAATAAAATACATATCCACCATATGTCAAAATTTAAAAGAAAGTGATTGAAAAAAAATCCACCACATCCATCCACCAAGTTTCATGGTAATCCGTCCTGTAATTTTGGTCTAATACTGTTAACTAATAAATAAATAAACCAACGCAGATGAAAACCCTCTAACAGGTAATGAAGGAGCTTAGCTCAGCTTACAGACTGGAAACGTGATAAAACTAAAAGTCTGGCTCCGTCAAAACAAAATCACCTTCCGGCACAAAACTCATTCATCAACATGTTGAATCTTGTTGTAGGGACTTTTGACTTTTGTTTCCCCAATATCCAGTTCTCACGCTAAGCTAAGATAAAATAAGCTAAGTAAATAAAATAAGGTAAAATAACCATTTACTCCAAATGCGATACTCACAGTTTTCTCACATTTCTATCTATGAATTATTCCCTGGGAAATAAGGGAACATTTCACAGTTCAGGTCATGTCTCCTAAACAACTGTACAAGGGTGAAAACATAACCTCCTGTTTCTTTTTTATACTGTCTTGTTTTAAGGATTTATTAATCAGTTGGATTATGTTAGTGATACTTCACACTATGAAATGTAGAGTATGTATATTTGATTACCATGAAACAACCTCTGCTGTAATCCTGCTTCAATAGTGCTGACAATCCTGAACACTGATTCAGGAAAGTCATGAATATCTTTTGTGTCTCTGAGGACAAAGTGATCTGCTTTATCTAATGTGACTGATAAATATGAAATATCAATGTTATCCATGAACCAGTTGACATTATAAATATAGATAAAGCTAAAATACACACCATCACCGTCACTGTAACGTGATGAAAACACTGTCTTGTCACGGACAATAGGTGGACGCACAGTTCCAGTGGGTTCACAATGGCAGTATTACAAGGTCAGCTCGGAGGTTTCGCCTGGCTCAGCAAAGACCTGCAGGGCTGTGGGCCACGCTGCTCAGCTGACGGGGCTCTTTGCTTGTTCACGGCGCTCTTTCTCGAAGGGGCCCCAGTGACCGAGCCATTCAAGAGCACGGGCCATAAATGACCGAGTTGAACGGCACGTTAAGCACAGCATTCTCAAAAAACAGTACAGCCTCTGGAGAGCAGCCAAAATGCCAGGAACAAAAGGTAAGTAATGTTTAAACAAAAATTTAATTCTACATTTGTGTTGTTTAATTTATCTGTATAATAAATAGACGATAAAAGAAGGAAATTTGTCTGGATAATCGCTTCCAAATGTTGGACATGTGTTTGAATATTTATACTATATTTCCAGGTAACAAGTCGGACAAGAAGTCAACTACCAAGGTAGGAAAATAATTTCAAATCTAAAATCCGATTTTTCTTTTCTCAATCTATAAATGTTTCCACTTCATCTATATTTGCTTTAATATCGCAGCAACCTCAGAGTCCTAAAGAGCAGCCGAAGAAAGGTGATCAGAAAGGAGATGATAACAAGAAGCAAGGAGGTAAACATTTATATGAACTGACCTGACTTTTTAACAGCCTTTCATTTTCTAATTTGTGCAGCCTGTGTGATTTACGGTGCACACGGTGTGGAGATGAGGTGCAGTGATTTCTGTGTCCCCAGTGAAGGTATCTGTCTGTGTTTCATCCCCTCGCAGGACAGCCGAAGGGAGAGAAGCAATAACTTCCAGGCGTTTGTGAAGATGGCTTTGGAGACACTGCTGGGGTCCTGCCGTCGTAAACATGGGGGTCCTCGGGGCAGACAGGGCTGAGTGCACCCACCCCCCCACAGGCCTGCAGACCGGCCTGTTGTGCTCGGCCTCCCGATACAACATCTGCTCACCTCTCACAGACGGCAGAAAATTGAACCCAATCTCCATCCATCACCATCTGTTGTTCAGCCTCTGTTCCTCCCCCCCTCACTGTCCACTCTGGCTTATTGGATGTCTGGAAATAGACTCCAGGTTAAACCGGACTATTGCAATTCTTCCCCAAATCACCTTAAAAAACATAATTGACTGTCTAACAGTCCACACATTGTTCTTGTAAATAATGATGATTCGAATAAACAACTATTTCTTACAGCAGCCTTGGCGTATCGGACCTGTGTGCATTATCATTTCACATCCGCTCGCACGCACGCAAACACAAAGACGGCAAACCAGGTTTCATGTAAAATTTTATAAAAATATCACAGGTGTATCAGTGCCTTCACATTTACAGGGAGAAAAATCTTGAATAAAATATTATAATAGCATTTAAAACACTGTGAGGGGAATCAGGTCTGCGGAGACTGAACATTCAGGCTCTGATCTAAAACACTACATCTCAGTTAAGAAGCAAATCCTTTGACATTCTAAATCAAAGAAAGACAAGAATGTGATCACAATCTGATACAGACGCTAAGGTTCCTTCATCAGTTACGTGAACGCATCATTAAAAGCAGCAGTGTCATAAAAATCTGCACTTTGAGGATAAATATTCAATATCATGTATAATTCAGTCTTATAAAGGTGGAAAGGAGGTTTAAACATAGTTTGCTCTACAGTGACACATGTGCAGTACCCTGACTCTCTACCTTTTATTTTCAATACGAATGAAAGAGTTTGGTTCACAACTACTATAAGTTTAATTTGAAGAACACAAAACTAAATACAAACACTATCAGGAGACCGCACCACAAAAATGAACTCATTACTGATTACTTCTCTTTATCTAAAATTCACAAAAGGGGGAGGTCATAATGATTCTTATTGGTGATGATAAAATTGCTGCTTCATAACAACAACCTGTGCTTTTTTATTTTATTCATAAGTAAAATCGTTCTCGTACACATGCTCAAGAGACAAGCTCTGCTAAAGGATCAATGTGGAGAAATTCTCTATTTTTCTTGCGGCAAACAAATCCCAAGAAACAAAAGACAAATCCAGCAATGAGTCGACTCTCTGGACAGTGTTGTACCTACAGCCACAGTTTGATATAGCTTATTATTCTGCCATTGGTTGACAGATTCTTTCATTCACAAATTCTGCAGCCCTCAAGAGTCACCAGAGAACCAAACACATTGTGTGGCCAGCTGTTTAGGAAACGATTTAACCTTTAGGAAAAACCAAAGTGGAGTAAATAGGCTTGGAGCTGTGGGCCCCACGCAGACAGTCCGGGGGAGTCAGACCGTACTGAGAGAGGTGCTGTTTCATTGTGGCTTTTATTTTTCAATGGGATTTGTCGTTGACTATCAGAACACAGTCGGTTTTGCCTTTCAGACCTAAAACTACTGATTGTAAAACACTCGAGCTGAAGGGAAACCACACCTGGAGGACATCAGCCGCGGTCCGTGGTGAAAAGATAACGGGCTCTATCGCGTGTCCACAGAAAGGAGCAGCAGATCTCCTCCATGCTGATAGGTATTGATTGTGACTCACAGTGAGACATTGGTAACTGCTGTCACAACACGACGGCTCGATAACTGCAGCTCGGATAAAACAAAACAAAAAAAGGAGGCGATATGGGGAAAAGGAAGGAGGAGAGGAGCGGGCTAACGTTTCATGGATATCCAAACTTGTCCCAGGTAGATTTAATTCAAACATTAACCAGCCAACGTCGCTGCAGGTTGAATCTGTTCTCTTCGGCGTGATGCAGGATAAAGTCACAGTGCAGAAGTGGAGAACCAGCCTGACTCTGTCTCTCATTATTGCTTTCCTCCCCCGTTCACTGGTCCCTTGTTATTAGAGAACGAGGCGGTACAGTACCCAGCATCCGAACGTGACCCAGTGGCTCGTCCAGCTCAGCTCTGACCACTTCTGAATGGTATGATGGGTGATATCGTCCTGTAGGGGGCGGTACGTATTATTCTTTATACCTTCCATAAGAAAATCTTTACAAAAGAAACATGATTCATAATTAATCTGTTACTTATGAGCAGATTCAGAACTAAAGTAAAGTGACTCATCATTATATAACGTTGCAGTACATTTCCCTACTTCGAACTATAAATACCGCAGCTATAAGCTCACATTTCTATACAGTATGTCATATGTCCAGGCCACATCGTGTTCTGTACATTTGATGAGTACAGGCTGTATAAATATAGTCACCTAAACATGTGGTGACCTTCAACTTCAGTGTGACACAACTGTCCCTCCCCTCAATAGGACACTGCACATACATACATACATACATTGGCAGTTTCCTTTGCATGGTTCAAACTATATGTATTATACTCAGCCATTCTTTATTCTTTTAGCTGCAACCTGTGAATTTCCACTCAGGGGATCGATACAGTCTTATCTCATCTTACCTCATCCTCCTCCATGTAGTCCACACTGGAGTTGAACACAGAGCCCAGGTACGTCAGGTGGAGTATTGCCAAGGCGCTGAATGCTATGTTGATCACATAGACCCACAGCTCCTGCAGAGGGAGAGATGAACATATTTGTTTTATGCCTGCGTGGGTTTTTTCTTATAAAGGACCTGAAATGAACGCTCCAACTTTAACTTGAATTCTGGCACATTTTTAAGTTAACATTTATCTTTAGAGATGAGAAATACTGCAAACTCTATTTTTAGGGAAAATGTTGTACACATTCCATGCAGACTGCTTTAACTTCACATAAATCCTTATTTCCCCTCCCTGCTTCTCCTGATGTGTGGAACCAATAAGACATGAGAGACATTTGTCGGGCATCTTGTCAGTAAACTCTTCTGACAGCACAAGACAGACTCAGGGACAGCAGAATTTTAATGTCAGATGTATTTTCTTTTGGCATTAAACCTTCTTATTAGATTTGGTCTAAATCCAAGGGAAAAAAATTATACAAGAGTGGTTAATTTCTCATATTTTTGGGTTAAAAATAGAGAGCACAGTTTCCCCTGAACGCTAACTAGGGCAGAGGATCTACGAGGTAGGCCCCCTTTGAGCACCTCCTGCTCTGAAAACAAGTGCCAGCACTGACAGCACAGTGGCCATTTGCAGGAAAGAGAGTGAACCAGGTAAAACACTGCAGTCCTGTGGTCGGAACTGAGATTTCAATTCATGCTGCATGAGACATTTGTGAACAGCGTACTAGAAAAAATTCAAAACAGGAAAACGAATCCTAAAATTAGTTATAAGTTGGACAGAATTATAAAACTGACAAACTGTGAATTAGAATAATAATGTTAGATTAGCTGAGCATGAGGACTGGATAAAGGGAATAGCTTGGCTCTTGGTGAGAGCGGCCTGCTGAGTAACAGTCCACAGTTTGTGTATGGATTAAACGATCAAGATATAACATGTTAATTAATGAGTATTATGAGGAAAAGAACCCATTATGTTCTGTGCGGATCCTGATCAGATCAAGGAATTTGTTTTCACTTTCTTCTGTGAAAGAAATCAGGGGGACTGATATCTATGAGTGTGTGCAACTTAGTGCAGCTTAATCAAATGTAAAGGGCTGGTCCACTGAAATAAAATATAAGGTAAAAAGAATATGTACATATGTACACTAAAGCATCATTGCAATGTAGTGCAATAGACAGAATGCAGATTTATGTTCTTATTAAGTCTGTGCAAAGACCATAAATCTGCGTTGCTGCAGTATTTAGCATGCAGACATGAGAGTGGTCAAAGACGGCAAACAAACAAGTGCGTTTACAAAAATGTTGAACTAATCTTTGAACACTGAAGCAAAACCGAAGAGCCCACTGCTGATGATAAATGAGTGGTGATAAAGCACTTTCTCTCAACAAAGGAGAAGGAAGAGAAAGGTGCATTATACCTTTTTGTTTCGATGGGTGCAGTTTGGCTGGCACTTCTTTGACAGAACACAGGCATTAAAAATGGCTGCGAGCCTCTTCCGCAACACTGCAACAGAAAACGAGACCAAAGCATTAACATGAAGCTCGAGGAAAAGTTCCCTTCCGACCGTGAGAGATAAATTACCAGCACTGCAGTGAACAGAAACACTGTGTAATGGTCGGTGCAATTAACCATTACTGCAAAGCTAAGCACCTTGGAAATGGAAAGGTTCTAATGTGGAAAAGAGGCGACGTGAAGCAACTCTTACCGTGTTCGATGTACGTGATGAACCCCAGGGACATCAGCACTGCGCCCAGATGAAAACTCAAACCCTAACCAGACACAGGAGTCAGTTAAAACGCTCCACTCGTTAACACAGACGCATTCTGTTTCACAGCACAGGCTTTGATTGCTTTGTAAATGGTGCACGCAGTACTCACATGCAGGAGAGCGCTGGCTGTGTATGTCACCATGATGGCAGAGAAAGTCCCAAATTTGAGAGCACTCGTAAAAACATCTGTGAGATGAGAGCATCGGGCTTAAGGTGAGAGCGTCTCTGTAATGAGCCATTATGGTTCCGATCGTGATGAGAACGAAAAGCAGAACCAGCTGCGGCGTTTTTTTCAATGTGTTCTAACTTACAGGTGTGCAGGAAGCGAGACATGGGCAGATTCCAGGACGTTACCACCTCCACCATCGACCGAGGAAACTCTATATTCAGGGGCTTGGACACGGTCATGTCCCTGCAAAACAAACGATACAGAGGAGGGAGCATGTTTATGAATATGAATGAAGACAAAGGACATTTTATTGTTCATACTACACATACACATTCTGACCATTTGAGGTTTTCCTTCTCCTCGGTGAAGCCCGCCCCAGCCAGAGTGGCGGTCGTCTCGCTGAAATACCCGACGAAGTAATTGCTGAAGTGGAAAGACATCGTGTTCTCATACGCCAGCAACCACCTGATGTAACGACATTAGAAGAGGAAGAAACAGATATTAGGTTGCACTTTCAATAAGTTCCAACTTAATAAATTAAAAATTAGAGAAAAATGAAACACATACTTTGCCAGTGTGCCTCTGAGGAGCAGCAGAATGAAGAGAGAAGTCGCAGCCGTTAATGTCGTGATACAGATACAGTTTCATACACTTTCTTTATTGACTTTCCATGTGACGTCTACGTTCAGTGTTCAGAGTGAGAGTAAGACAAATACATTACCTGATCTTCCTCCTCTTTTTACTGTAAAGACAAAAATACAAGATGGGTTTAATCCATGAGAGATCAGTGATCCAGGAGTATTACCATCCATCCTGAGAGATATGATCACAATCACTAAGTTTGTCTCTTCTTGTGATCAGATCTTATTTCCTGCTCTATCTGCCAATAAACACACATCGTTTCTGTTTGTGACCAAACTATGTCGTAACAAATGTGTCCGAGAGAGAGAAAGAGAGGAGTCAGGAGGGACTGAATGAACATTGTGCAACATCTGTGCAGAAAGATTTCACCAATCAAAGGAAGTACCAATCATTACGTGGTGGTCAGTGTTGATATCACTGCATGGAGACCGACAGGCGTAAGAACTACATGGACACAGATTTCAACCTAATTAAATGGGACAACGCAGAATAGACGATTGCTTGTTGTATCACGGCATAAAAGACGGATCAGGACGAAACAGACAAGAGCAGGAGAGGAGGCAGGGCGCATGTGTCCGTGACGAGCAGTAACAACATGGAAAGAAGCTGACATCGCTGATAATGTGGTCGAAGAAGCTGAGCAACAAAATATTCCCCATCCTCTGACTGAATGAAAAATACTTCATTCAATACATTGTACACGTTTCCCCCTGCACAGTCTTTCATGCTCATAAATCATGATCATGAGTGGTTTAAGTGAAACAGTCTTTAAACAATATTGATGTGATGATTAACTTTGCTTTGCAGCCAGTAGAAGTGGCTTTCAGAGGGGGGACTTCATACTGAACCTTTAAACTTTTTCTCGAGTAAAGAGATTTAATCAGTACTTATACTTTTGCTTGAGATGTTTTAATACACACACAGTATCTGAATGTCTTTTATATGTGGCCCAGGACTCATTTTAGCTTGCACAGCAAAAACATTGTGGTCTAGGCGATCGGATCTCACGATGCACTTAGATGCATTCAGACCTGAACTTTGACCACTTGAAATCGGCTCATTCAGGACAGATGTTAGTACCAGGTCTGAGCAGAGACTCACCTTCGTAGTAGCTTGTCTCCGTAGACAGGTATGAAATAAGGGAAGAGGTACGGTGCCACACAGTTGGAAATAACCAGGCAGACCTGACTCTTCACCCAGCTCACAGACACTTTTAAAAACCACGAAAAGCTCTGAGGAAGAATAAAAAGGTAGCAGCCAGTGTCAGGATCCGTCTTTTAAATAATCCCCACCTCACCTCACCTTCATCCACACTGAAGAGATACTGTCTCACACTTACCAGCTTACGTCCATCCAAAGCTTCTTTGTAGCTGTTGAAGCTGATCCAGGGACCGAAGATGACTGTGCCCACAAAGTAGATGTAGCCCATGAACTCGATGGGTGAGGGGACGCTGGGGACAACGCCTCTGTCCAGATCGAAGGCCAGAGAGATGGCTTTCATGGCCACCACCATCTGTGAACCTGGATGACGGCAAATAAAGAGGAAAATGATTGCATGTATCTGGAATGTGTCAAACGTTGCTGCCTGCAGAAACGATGCCTGGAACCTACCTCTCATCTTGTGCCAGTTGGTGGTGTCCATCATGTGCAGTTCTCTGATAATCAGAATAGAATATAATCAGTCTTGACACGGCACAAAAAAAAAGATGAAGAGAGAGATTCTAACGGCGGCTTTGAAGCGTTCACTTCAAACACGCGCTTGACGTGTGAGCTGCTGAGCTGTCAGCCGTCAGAGGAGGCCTCGCTCACCCCAACAGCAGGTAGATGAGCACGGTGATGGACAGGAAGGTGCCTCTCATGGTGGAGTGGCGGCACAGGAAGAGGAAGAGGTAGCAGAGAAGGCTGAGAAGGACCACCCAGATCATGTGAAGCTCAAAGAACAGGTAGAGAGCGTAGAAGCCTCCGGCCACTGTGCCCAGGTGCTTCACGAAGGACGGGAGGCCTGACGCAGCAAGATGAAGGAAAACAAAGGGCAGCGCAGGTGATTACGCTGACGCCGACTGTCTGAAGGCTGAATAACACTGACAGGGCACAGAGTAACCGGACTCTCACCTAACATCCAGAGAAGCCGACACAGCAGGCAGATAACCAGCAGCTGCCATACCTGCTCCAGGCCCTGCTGAGCCGTAGGCAGCAGGCAGCCATGAGCGAGTTCCTGGAAGAACTTCTGTCGGCTGAACGCTCCCATCTCTAGACTTGGGAAGGGAAGGAAAACGTTGAGACTGTTACAGCAACAAAAACGGGATCTTTGCGACAAGCATTTAAATCTTCAGGGATATTCACTGCAATCCAGTCAAAAATATAATAATAAAGAAAGAGTCATTGTTAACGTACAGGAATTAATGACAGGGATCAACCACAAATGTGGCGTCCCACTTGCCCGCTCTCCCCCGACACCACACACTGGTGAGGAAACCATTAGTTGTCACCACCAATGTTGTGTTAATGATAAATTCAATTATTAAAAACAATAGCAGACGATATCAAATCTAATAATATTACTATATGATAAAGTCAGAGTAAGTACATAACGTAAATCATACGTGTGCTGCAGGTATGCTTACACGTGCAATCTTGCAGGTAAGGATGGACTCACTTGTCAAAGATGCACACCACTTCAAACTTCAAATCCCAGCATGCAAAGCACCTCACTAGAAATCTGTGCAGATCCATGCAGTAGCTGTCAGACTTTCAATGACGATTATGCTAAATACGATTGAGGATTTTCTGCACGTGCACATATGATGATTATATGTTCGTTGTCATGTCTTCGTTTTTTTGTAACGATTCCATCAAATTGCATCCATGGGAATGAAACATGTTTGCAGGACAAAATGAAATCTGACGATGCGAGAGAGCCTCAGAACCTCAGCACAATAACAAGGCCTCGTGACCGCTGGACTTGTTAACATTTATCTGCAGAGCAATGTGGAAGAATACAAGACACACTATTCTGCAAAGGCTCTCTCCGCAATGCAGTGGACCAGCGGGACGAGAGCACTAACATCTGGTTGAACAAGCAAATGCATTAAACCCAGAGCATGTGCAGCAACGTGCCTGATACCAGAGAGCAAAGCACCTCAGTGAATTTACCGGAGAAAGCTTCTAAAAACCGCTGCTCCATTAAAGCATGATGAATCATAATGCTCTTATACTAATGCATTTGAAGAGTGGATCCCCCAGCCCCCACACTCAGTTAACCGGACGCCCCGGGCACGTCAGCGACTTTACCCGGGAACACTCACCCTCTCTGGGCAGCAGCTGGAGCTTCCTCCGCGCCTGGACCCAGCTGCCTTTTCCCTCGTCCCTCTGCGCCAAGTTGAGCGTATGTGCCGCCGCTGCGCTTTTACGCACACTCGATCCAGATGATGCTTATCCGGATGACTCCCATTGTCACAGCATCAGCACCACTCGCCCGTCGTCAGCGACGCCACGCGAAAAGACGCGTCGACCAATCCGCTGCTTGGCTCCGAGGGCCTCAGCCAATCGCGGACGTCGTTGGATTTCAGTGACAGGCGACAAGGACCAATCGAGGATGAGCGTCCGGCAGCAAGTCCGGGACCCTCCAGCCAATGGGAGGAGAACAGTTGTGCAGATGATGGACTGAGACGAGGACAGATGCAGAGAAATGCACAGTGGACATAAATAACTAAAATCACACATGAGCTGCTTTTCCTTTGCATACATGTGTTTATTATAAATTCACATCAGAAATATAAAAACATCATCAATGGACCAAAAGGAAATATTGTTTTCCAGCAAAGTGACAGATCTGCATATTTTCTTTTTAAGAAATGGGTTCATAAGAAACACTGACTGACCGACTGACGTACGGATGCTGTATTTCTAATTTAATTTATGGACACTGCCTTGGTTGTACATATAAATACACCATGTACTTGTTTGCAGCATGTGTGCAGAGCTTCTACCAGTTGAAGACAATAAGCTTTTCTTATATTTACTGTTAGCGTAGTTTATTTCTGCTCATCAAGACTGTACTGTTGTGTAATGCTTGTAATAAGTCTCCCTTTTCAGAGATGTATTAGTTATTATTGAATTAGCCTTTAGTTAACCAGGTTCACCATATTGAGATTAACAATCTATTTTACAAGAGGAGACCATGACCGAGAACAGCAGCAAGGTATTTCTAGTGCCACCTTCTGGACAGACCTTGAAAAACACACATTTGGTCAGTGAATCTATTTCCCCAAATTTCTCCTAATAATAAAACCCCAGCAAATAACGTAAGGTTATTTTACTTCTGCATATATACATTCAGTTAAGACACATTTCAGTTGGTTTCTTCCATCGTTTTTTCCCTTTGTCCAAAAGAAAATCGACCTGATATTTACACAATGTAGTTATGAGATATGTTTTCAAATTAGTAGCAAGTTAGTTTTAGGTTCTTGTAATCCATCTGCTTCACTGAATTGAGGAGATGAGGTAAAGCGAACAAGATATAATTTGCAAATTTAACTACTTAAAAATATTGATGCTGGTTTGTAAGTTCCGCTTCGAGGGCTCTAAGGTCAGGGAATGAAAATGGTGCATTCAAATATATTTTTGAATTTCACAAAGTGTCAGCGACAAAACCTCCGCCTTGCAGCAGACAGGGATCTAGTGTCTTTTTCTATGACATAAAACAAAGTTTATCGTTCATAAAGATGGGAATACTGAGTCCAGTGACTATCAGGATGCTCGATGTGATGATCATTCTTTCATTCCTGTTCACAACTTGGACTAAACGGTTTATTACAAAGTATAGAACATATCATTAGTAGTTAAGAAGTGACGGAATCTCAACTAAAACACTCTCATTGTATAAAAAATAGCAGCATGATGAGTTCAGTCACTTACATTAAAATATATCAGACTCTGAACTCTGAACAAATGCCAAAGAAAAGAAGTATTAAAGAAAAGTGTGCATACATTTGGAAACATATAACATGAGAACACAAAACTAAACCCTTTCAAAATATACAGGTGGTAAAAGTAGACCACAACAATAGGTCCTTCCCAATAAGCCCAATTTAACTTATATTTTCGTTAAACAGCGTTTTTTTTGCTTTATGATGATAAACAGTCTTTAGTAAAACAAAGTTTCGGACAGATTCACGGCTGTGTTTCAAAATGAGAAACAGAACTTATCCCCCACTAGGTTTTGATCAGACCACAATCTCCAGGTCATAAGCAATTCTCTCGTATTTGACTTGCTCTACGATTTCCTCTTGTGGTGAGATCGGCCGCTCACACGGTTCCTCCTTAATTTCCTTCTTAACATCTTTTGATTTACTGAGGATATACTCGTAATTTCTTTCAACCTGAAATAATGCTGACGTGAGGCACTGAGGTGAAAACATCTGAAGCGAAGATGGGAGTTTTGGAGGTGGCACAACTTCAGCCGAGGTATCTGGGTTGCTTGAGCGCCCGGCCACTGGTGGAGGTGGACACGACGCAGAGGGAGGTGCAGGTTTTATTATTTCTGGGACTCTTTTGCACGGCGCCGGACGTGGGAACTTGTGGGTAGGCACGGAAGTAGTAGTAATAGGAGGTGTAAGCACAACAGTAGTAAAAGGAGATGTAAGCACAGCAGCAGTAGTAATAATAGTAGTAGGAGGTGTAGGCACAGTAGTTGTAATAGTAGGAGGTGAAGGCACAGTAGTAGTAGTAGTCAGCCCTGGTGATACAGTCACGGTGCTCTGAGCCGGGCTTTTATCAGACTTCGGCGCTCCGTTTTCTGGCATCACATTATCGTCTTCCTTTTGCAACTCGTCAGTGGAGGAATCGTCTTCAACCTTAGTAGCAGGCTGGAATGGAATGTGACTGTGACGTCGACAGAACAGAACGCCACACTTGTTGCACTTCCTTCCGTCTTTGACATGCAGCAGTTTATGCCGCTTGAGGCCATGACTTGAAACGAAAGTTCGATCGCATATGTTGCACGGAAAGGAGGGCTCCTCAGGTTTTACACACTGGTGCTGGGCGACACTGGTCTGATTTGTGAATTTCATTCCACACATTTGACAGATAATGGGTTTTTCTTCTTCATCCAGCTGTTCCTCTTTTACAAGCTGAGATACAGTGGGGACGTTCCGGTTGCACAGCTGAAGCCGATAGACATCTTGTAAAACTAGAGGTTTTAAAAGCACGACAGGATTCATTTTGTCTAGTTTGGGGCCGAATGCTGGCACTGATGGGGATGTCTTGTTGGGGCTGGATGTTGTTTTGGATGTGATTGTTTCGGCTCCTTCTTCAGCCTCGGCCCTTTTGGTCAATGTTTCCTCTCCCTATGAAGTACACACATGAAGAAGAGCGATAGAAATGCAGCATTAAAGAAGAACTCAGAACACACAAGAAAAAAACTCCTAACATAATAACAGAATAAAACATTTGATGTTTTCTAAGATTAAAATCAATGGCAGAATAACACATTGCAGCTGTTACATTGGCTACTGAAGGGGTGGGTGGTGCCTCTAATTCTTGTGCAACTTCACTTTCAGTTTCCATCAAAACAGGCGAGTGGTCGTCGACAGGATCAGGTGGAGACTTTACTTCTTCTTTTCCTGCATTTCTTTTACGGTACCGCCTTTTTCTACGACCGTAGAATGTTGAAATAAACCTGTGGGGGAAAAAATAATAATTTTAATATGCAGTAAATGCGTCAAATGTGAACTTGTTTATCTTTGTCTTTACTTTCTTTAACATTGTACGAAGCCTATTTCTAATTTCTCAGGGGGAAAAAAAAATCAGGCATATTTAGGGAACTAATATCGATAAGTGTGTGAATAAGTTCAGCTTGATTAAAACTGAAGGGGACTGCGTGCGGAGGTATGAGCTCTACTGAATGTTATTCTGATATCAGTGTTTTGTCCACCTAATTCATTTCAGTAAGTTTAGTATCACGTAAAACAAATAACTACATCCTCCGTCTTATTACTCACCTCTTTGAAATTGTTCCATGTATAATGATCAGGGAACATATTAACCCTCATTAACGTAGGAAGGTAATGGACCAGTAGTTACCACATGATAGCAAACTATATTGATTATTAAAGAGTATTCTAAAAAGTACCACGCTGTGCTAACATGTACTTCTACAATGAGAGACGCACGTCCACCACTTATCTTCACCAACCAAACCATCTAATGAGGATTTGTATTCATCTTACCTTTTCACTTTTTTCTTGGGGCTCTTTTTAATGCATTGGAACACAGAGGGAATAAAGTCCACATTCTTATGGTCCAAAGACACCTCCCCTGTAAAACAGCAAATCTTCAGTGTTTTATCTTCTAACATTATTTTCCTTATTCTCCATCACCTGAACCTCTCTGAAGGATTTCTCTGACATTTAGTTTGAATCGGTCCCTCCTGAGTTTGACTATAATGAATCCAAATTAACAACTGTCCTGTCTGTTCCTGATTTCTGAATATGGACAATTCAATTAAAAGTTAATTGATTGATTGATTGATTTGACTGTAAATGAGCCAGTTAGCTCAACAGGCTAACTTTAGAATTCAAACATTGTGTGCTGTGTCCAGCTCCGTGTCGTGTCTTCGGTCTTTAAACTTGCAGTTTCGTGCAGAAACATTATTAATTATCTCACCTGATATAAAATGAGCGCCACAGATCCGAGAATTCACCGTGAGCCCCGAGCTGTTGTTGCTCGCCCGTTGAATGGCTCTCTGCCACAGACGCCTCCTCTGGACCTGAAACGGTTTCTTCCCGGTGGGAATCCGGAAAAACTTGAATTTGCTCTTCGAGTGTCGGTTGTTGCAGCCGGACACGCAACACACCGACATGTCGGGCTGAACACACCCGGACTGTGCAGCTCGGACTCGGTTTAAAGGAAGCGAGCGACGGCCCTCACTTCCGCTGCCAAGACGCGCGCGCATTCGTCTTCTTCTTCTTCTCTTGTTTAATGGCGGTTGGAGGAGAAGACTGCGCCCTCATGAGGATGAAAACTGGATTTAAACAGTTTTACTTCAAAAATAACAATAAGATAAACATGAGGTAAATGAATATTTGTGTTGTGTTGAGTTTGTCTGGTGCTGTCGATCTGTTTTGACCTTTGTATCAGACAATGTTATGTGACCTGATGTTAGTTTTCTGTTTTAATCTTATAATACAAATGTTTATGGTTCAGTTCTATTTTGTTGATGTAGTTTTATTCCTTTTATTATTATTATTATTACATTTCAGTTCACACAGAAAAAAACGGAACATACAATACAAACATAATCATAAAAGACAATAATCACAAAGGACAAACACAAATAAATAAATAAACAAACACAAAAAGGTATTCTTACTTACTCTGCATTATTTATTTCATCTGGGCTCTCTAACCCCAGTAAATTATAATATCTTTCTTTACATACCACTTCTCAAATCAAAGTGGCATCACAATGAAAGACACACATTAAAATAACGTTAAAAAAGTAATTAAAGAATACAAACTCTAAAAATACAAGATCCACCCATCATAATAATAAAAAGTAGAATTAGGTCAAATCAGAAAATGCAATACAATAAAAGTATATCTTGGCTTTGATTGTATTGATTTTATTTTGAGATACTTTTCTTGAATAAGAAAATACTCTGATTCTACTCAGTCTGTGTCAGTGTTCTTCCAACAGATGTCACTGTTGTGTAATGTGGAGAGGGCCTTGTGCTGCTCAGTTTAAAGGATTTCAAAATAAGAGTAAACAACTAGAACAATGACACTTGACACTATTTTATAAAAGAACCATTTGACATACTCTCTGGTAATTGATGTAAACATTTACTCTACTTGACTTTATAATCGGTGATGTGTAAGAAGAGCTATTCTCAATCCATCTCCTTCACTTCGCCTGTTTGAGTGCTTCTATAATATCTCACTACAGAGCCCACATCTGAGGAGCATCTGCATTGTTGTGGATAAATGCTGCTTGCACTTTCCCATGGAATGCACTCATTGTCGGTAATGAAAATCAATCAATGAAGCTGAGTCTGAGAGTCAAATCAATATTATTTCATTTCCACTTGCACCTCCAGAGTCCTATTGACACCAACATTTAACTGCCACTGAACGACTGGCACTGTTTACCACCAACAGCATGTAAACAGTCGTGAACACCTGTAGAGAGGATTATCTCCGCTATATTAATGTTAAACTATTTCTGAATTCTATCATTTCTCTTCCATATCTACAAGCTCCTGACCTGAAAGGAAACACACTGGCATTGCCGCTGTGTCCCTTTCCTCCCTCCTTCCCCTCTTCTCCCTCAAGGTGACTCCTCCATCTGCACCCTCGCTGGTCTGCCAATCCCTCTCCCTGCAGTTAACCATGTTACATTTTCTGGAATCTGATTCCCCTTCTCTTTTTGAGAGCCCATCACTGCCCCACCTGTTTCATCGGTCGTCCTGGAGCTGTGCTCATCAGTTACAGCTCTGTGAAAGTGAGAGGCAGGTGGACCATCAATGTCTTGATGCATAAAAGGATTTGATGAAACTAACAATCTGAAATAATATATTGGCATTTCTGCAGGCTGATAACGCACTCAATCAGTTTTATGCCATCCACATTTTAATGTTATCCCTGTCAGGGACGAGGTGTGTCTTTGTACTGGCTTCATTTCACTGCACAGCATCCCCAGTTTAATTACCCTCATCTTCACCCCGCCTCGTGTCACTCTAAGTAGGGGGTGAGAAGACGGGGAAGGAAAATAAAGAGGAGATTGAGGAGAGAATATTGAAAAAAAAACCTGTACGGAGGGCGGGGTGGGCTGTGAGTGAATGGGTGGCCTGTTTTAGGTGAAGGCTGCGGCGAGGAGAGAGAAGAGAAACAGGGAGGGAGATGGAAAACAATCTGTCACCGCTTTTGTTCACAAGTGGGTCAGTAATACAGTCTGTATTTTTAACAGTGGAGATATACAGCTTAGTTTAAACACCTTTCTGTGCTCCTTTTCTTTTTTAGTTTTAGAAATGAGCTACAAAGAAATAACCAATGATTTACCTTTAAAGGTAACAAAGAAGAAAAAGAACCACACCAACAAACAAAAGGACATCTGCTCTAGTTGGACAAAAATCTGTTCAACGGTCAGCACCAGCCCCTGAATAGATATGTAACAGTGAAACAAGCCCAACAGTCTCCTTAAATTCAATCAGGCTGCACCACATTTCACATACTCATAGATATCAGTCATCGGAATTTTGTCATCAAGATTCACAGAAAATTCTATAAGTAATCAATGAAAATGTGAAATCTCGCAATGTTGAAGAAAGTTAAATAAATGTATCCTTGATACCCAAAAGTATTCATATTCATTTCATATGTCAAACATGTCTGTTTTAAATCTGTGCTGTAGTTTTTTTCATAATGCTACAAACAGAGATACAAACAATAAATGCAAATTGAAAAATCCCTTTGGCGGAAGTGATGTTACGCCATCTATAGGCCTTCACCTTTATGCTCATACATACATGCACTTAAAGGCCACTCTTGACAGATGAGACAAAAACGTTTCCCACATTTAATCAGAGGTTGCAGGGCTGAGAGAGACACCGGGCCAGACCTGCTCCAAATGTCACAAATGAGAGATATCTGCAGGCCAGGTCTTCAAATAAGACAAATCGTCATTTTTACGAAGCCTTAAAATATGTATTCTTGCGATTACTGTGCCACATCTGTCTTTAGCATCCCTGACACATGCATGCTCATCATTTACCTCACCTGCCACCCTGCAGTGAGGGATGGGCCTGTTGTTACCTGGTGGAGTTGGCACCTGTACACTGACACTGACAGCCCTCTCTGTTTACCCATCAACACAGAAGCCCCCAGACTCAAACCACTTCCATCGGCTGTCGCTCCTGCCATCGCTCAATTGTCTGGTGAAGGGTTGAGCCTCTACAAGGCAATTACACATTCATTTCACCCGCACAGCCAGCCAGGCTCCCCTCCCCCTCACGCTCCCCATCTCCTCCCTGCTTTGCTCCACTCGCCCCTCCACCACCTTCATGTTTCTGCAACGCCTGCCCTCACCCACCAGCTCCATCTCTACCTGATGCGGCACCGATTCTTCCGTTCCACCTTTAACCTCCGCCCGTCTCATCATTTGTGCCCCTCTTTCACAATTTTACCCCCAAGATCAGCAAAAGGCTGGGGAGGTGGAGGCCGAGGCGATGGAGACGAGAGTAGAGGTAAAGGGAAAAAACAGCGTGATATAGTGTGGAACGTGAGCGGAGAGAAGAGAGAGAGAGTGGAGTGGGAGGGAGGGAAGGTTTTTTCTGGATGGAGAAGAAGTGGAGAGAGTGGGTAATGATGTATTGATTTGGTTGAGCCTGGGGCAAATCAGTGGGAGTATGTGGGAGGTGGAGAGTCACAGCCTGCAGATCTTAAAACACCTGGGTGGGATAAGTTTGGTTGATGATTTGCCTCAAGTGAAGGAGCCGAGGCACAATTTGAAAAACATCTTCAGACCGAGACTTATTTAAACAATATTTATATTTCAACCTCGTACTGCAGCGCTTGCATCTGAAGAGTCATTTGAAGGGAATTTTAATTGTTTTTGTGTTGGAAAAATGATAACTCAGCTGTCGGCCAGAGCACTGAGCTATGGAGCAGAATAATACGGAAGCTTCTGGCTATAAAAGCAGGCATTTAGATGGAGCGGACAGTCATTGGGGATCACATTAAGTGAGATCACTCAGGGGGAGGAGGGGGAGGAGGGGGAGTGGGGTGGGTTTTCTCTTCATAATGCATCAAGGTGTGCACATGCGTGTCCATGCACATGTCTCCCCGTGGGGGGAAAAGATGCTGGTATTGATTATTAAACACATTTCTGGTTGAAGGATATACAGACTCCATTGATTGGAGTAGACACTAAGAATAAAGTATTATCGTGGTAAAACTGCCCGAGGGGTAAACATGCTGGAATCTCACATGTGAAATCGTCGCACAGCCACAGCAGGTTAAAATTCTTCAAAAAATCTGAGATAATATATTAATTAAGGAAATTCAATCAGCGCTCACTGGGCCTCCTTTCAATTCAGCATCCTACGTGACTGCTGATGCAGCGGCGTCCACCTTCCTGTTGTGCTAATGCGACACCGAGTTCCAGCCCATGCTGTGCATGTGGATTCATGGGTAATGCTGTGTGTCTACAGGCTGAGGAAGCGGCTGGAGAGAGGAGTCGCCCAGACATTGGAGACGAGGACTCCATATTGCTATCTCTGTGTTAGCTCTCAAATTAATTAGGCCACTCTCGCTAAGCCTTCCTCCTCCCCTACGGTACCATGGTAATCACCTTTCCCTTTGGAAAACTCAAATCAACGCCCACTGCTCCTCTTTTGTGATCTCCTCACTCAAATCCCTTTGTTTCTCCATCTGCTGAACCTCGTCCTCCAACAAACTTTTTTCTCATGCTCTCTTCACCCTCGCTTTTCTGCCTCCGTTTCTAAACTTTCGCTCATTTTCTCCCTTTTGTTCATCACTTTTTTTTCTTTTTTTTTTTTTTTTACAAAGACGCCAAAAGAAGCTCTACTCTATCAAACCCCCTGCTCGCAGTCTGCCTCACATTCAAACCTGCTGCACAGGTGAGATGATGCCGTTCCAAACCTTTACCCCTTACCTCCCCCCTTGTCTCCCCTCTGCCCCACATCCCCGAATCTGTTGTGACACGATAGGAAAACACAGTGAGTGTGAGAAGTGGGAATAGAGGGCACAGAGTTGCGATAAGTGAGGATTTGAGAACAGTGATGGGTTGGCGTCAGGGAATAACACCCCTCCCATCCCTGCCCCATCTGCCCAACGACCATGAAAATCCATTAATTTGTGTAAGAGGACTTACACGTCCCACATGCCAGTCAGCCTCATGTGATAGACTGATAATTCAATTCTTTAACAACACTCAAGTGCGTCTGCGT